CTTTTACCAAAAAAAAAAAAAAAAAAAAAAAAAGGAAAGGGTATTATTATACCTTGTTTTATCTCTGCAATTTCTTTATCAAGTTCTTGAATTTGTTCACGATAGAGTCTGATGAATATAAAAATATTTGAATTTATTAGATGTTATTATTTTTTTTTTTTTTCGGGAAAATTTAACTATTCGTTAATACACATACTGATCTCTCAATTGTACAAAATCTATTTCAATATCTTTTAAATCTTCTTGAACTTCAACCCGTGGTTTATCATTTTCATCGTGTTCTATAATTGAAATAAATTTGTTGAAAATAAGATATTGTGAAGCCCGCAATTACATAAAGATTTGTAACTACTCTACGCTTATAGAAGGTTGTTTGATGACATCTGTACCACTTTTTACAACCCGGACAATATAATGGGATGCATGAATGCTTTTCTATCTTGCATCTGTCAATGACAGGTCAATTCGATCTTTGTTGTTCTTTTTGGACTTTGACAAATAATTTGAAAACATGGTTTAAAATAGAAAATAATCATGCCTTCTGGCTTATAAACTGTAGGCGTACTACCGTCGTCTTCATTTCCATTATGGTCACGCTCATCCCAACGTCTTTTTTTACACATTCGATTATTTTCGGATTCATCCATTTTCGACGATGATTCATCTTCTTCAGACGTGATGCTAGTAGCTGTGATGTTAGACATTTTAAGCTTTGAATCATCTTGCAATAAGGATGGTGATTCTGATAGTGAACTCATTTCGGATGAATCGTTGGGTGTTGAAGCCGATGTTGGGCTATCCAATTTATCGGAAGTTTTGTTGTCCGGAGAATCACTACTGGTGTGTTGTATTGTAGTGCCATTAGACTCTTTAATTACGTCACCGGGTTTAAAAAGTTCTTGACTGTCGGATTGCGATTGCTTATCGAGCCTTTTGTCGAGAGAACGACTCATTGATGTAGACGCTTTCAGCATCAAGTCGAGGGTTTGCAGGAGACTATACACGAAAAAAGAACGGCAGAGTTTGGAATTTGAAAAAAAAATTCTAATCAATAAACAGATTTTTATTCTTTAGCGCAAGCAAATAAAAGTTGTTTATAGGTAAGTAAGAGAGAGACTAACAGACAAAATAATGAGCATGTGGGAAAACTGCGTGGTACTCAATAACATTTTATGACGTATAATATTCCGAACACAATATACATAAAATGCAGGAACAAACTAAGCCACTGATTCATATGGATTTTATCAGATAATTATCTGAATACGACGTACTCGATCTTTGTCAGGGAAGAAAGTGTACTTTGATGCCTTATTTTAAAATAACGTAGGTTATATACGTACTGTAACGACGCAGAACTTAGATTTACGATTCACTTTGCTGCTCGTTTATACTTCCTTTTTTTTACTTACATGTCAAGAAAAGCATTTCAAAAACGTATAATAGTGATAAAGAGGAACAAGCAAAATCAAAATCAGAAAAGAATGACCTTAAATATAATAAGATTGGAAACTTGTCGCTGAAGAGGAGACAAATGGATAATGACAAGTAATTTGTTTCTTCAGAAAGCAGAAAAAAAGAACCTTAAAAGAAGAATTACATGAGTTGAATTAGTCAAAGAAATGGACACAGAATAAAAAAGGTAGTCTGGCCAATTATTTTTATTTTTCGCTGGAAACTTGAACAATTGACTTTAAACTACTTATATATACATTCAGCCTTCATTATCAAAAACCGAATGGGAACTTATAACTGGATATGTTTAAATCCAGATTTAATTATTCAGACTTTAATCATCACCTGTTTAAACAGATGAAAAAACGGTTTAACACATTTTTTTACTATCCTTACTAGGGATTGGAGACCTAAACTTGGTAGTTTTGGCACTTGCCGTATCCAAGCTGGCAAAACTAGTTTGGGACTTTGCAAGTCCCCAAGCATCTCTTATTTTTTCTTTTCCTTCCTTACTCTTATGTGAATTAATTACAACATAGCATCAGAGAGCAGATCGCCAAGTAAGTTAATCCTTTACAAGTCAGCGAGCATGTTATCTTTTTTTTTTTTTTTTTTGACGTAACAAAGTCCTAAATTAATAAATTACGAGTATACATACGTAATAATTATGTTAAATGCTTTGTTTTTTTAATATACTGCGTAATGATTTGAATTTCGGCAAAATGTCCCATTCCTCAATCCCAAACTGCCGTAATGCTGATTACTTGCCGTAAATAGTTTGGGGTTCTAACTGCCTAGAATTTCTTTAATCGTTTTCCATATAAAGTTAATTAGTTGTTTTTCATAACCCGGCTGGTCAATTTTCAAGATAAAAATTTTTATGAGCTAACTTATTTATTAAAATTAAAAGCCGGGCGGGGGTAATTCATGTTGTTGCAAGAAACAATTAATTAACATTGCATGGTCTTATCATAGGTAATAACAACAGGCTGAATGCCCATTTTCAGATTTGAGCAAATCGATTAACTTTTTTAAAAGACGAACAAAAAATTCTCTCACTGTATCCCTAAAAAATAAAAAGTTATATAACTGAGTTTAAATTTTCCAAAGTCCTATACTAAAATTAGATGCTTATACTTTCTTTCGCTTCGTTGAATATTAGCAAAATTACGATGAAAACTACATATATACTTATCAATTAAAGATACAATCGAAATGGTATAAGCCATAACAGATATCGCATAATATATCAATGTTTTGGTTATGATATCAATCTTTGCAAAATAATATACGCTATTTATAATTAAGTATTGACTATTATTTGCTCAAATTACTTATTATCATATTATTCGTGTTCGCAAAGCAAAATATATTATACAAAAGAACTTTTTCATTCTTTCATCGCTTTGAATATAGTAAAATCGAACTTCTGTTACTGGATAATATCACGTGGCTGAAAATTTTTATAGCTGATAGGGTTAATAGAAAGTTACGTACTTTATTAAATTCTTATACGATAGTAAATAAATTGCACGGTACTATTAAATTATAAGTTATAAATACAACATCTAGCCGAATTACTTAACCAGAGCTAGTAGATTTTTCAGAAAATCCAGAATTCAAAAATGTTAGCAAATCATTTGTAAAATTCAATTTATTATTACATTATTAGACGAAATGAATTCCAAGATCAAATACTTTTGGGAGAGGTTTGTGCTTCCAATTCATTTTTATCCTCAGTTTCTTCTGTTTTTTTCATTTTTTCCATTTCCTCAGTTTTTTCAATTTTTTCAATTTTTTCAGTTTTTTCAATTTCTTTCACCTCTTCGGTTTTTTCAACTTCTTTCATTTCTTCTATTTTTTCAATTTCATCTGAATTTTCCATTTCTTCCGGTCTTTCAATTTCCATTTTTTCCACCTTTTCCGTCTTTTCTATTTCTTCCATTTCTTTAGTTTTTCCTATTTCTTCCATTTTTTCCGTTTTCTCAATTTCTTTCATTTTTTCAATTTCTTCCATTTTTTCCATCACCTTTTCTACTTCTTCTGCTTTTATTGACTCTTTATCAGTTTCAGACTCTTCATCTTGCTCTAATGACTCTTTATTATTGCTATTATCTAAGACATGTTGCAAGTATTTGAAAATTGATTCAATGGCAGTACCAGCAGCGTACTCATGTTTTGGGTGTCCTTTTACGTATTCAGGAAAAAGTCAATGCTATGATTTCTTATTTTAGAAAAATTAATTTTATAAATAAAAATTTACCAGCCGAAAGACACCGACATCCATAAAAATTTTTTGCTTGGGGCACCTTCATATCCAAAGGCAATTCAGATTTGATCCAATTTATAGTATATTTTTCGAACCAATTTTTGGAATGTGAAGGAACCATTGAAGTACTGTGCACGCTGTCTGCAAGCGCGATGCCGACAACGCGAGATTTGAATTCATCGGCTAAATGTAGGTGATAATATAAAATTGTTAATAGATATAACTTACAATGAAACTAATGTAAACTAATTTTTTTACCAAATTCATCAATTAGACAAGTGATATTAATTCCACCAAAGCTATAACCCATTACCAAAATCTTTTCTGCTTTAGCTTTACTGTTGAAAGCAACGAAAAAAATTGTGTAAATAATTACAATGTTTGCTAGAATATAATTGCAAAAAATAAATTAAATAAATTAAAACTGTACGTGACGAAATTATTCCATACGTAAATACAATGTTTTTGTGGTGATTCTGAACCTTGTATAAATCCACATTCGATGACCTTAAACATAATCGCATCGGAATGAAAATGTATTGCGGGCATAAGTTTTTAAACTGATTAATATATTTAACTCACTTCTCCATCTTTTGTTATAGTGTCATAGTTTTCATTAGGATTGAAAATTATAATGCCCCAATTCAACTCTTGCGCCTTTTGAATATATGGGTACATAGTCCCAAGCTTTATGTAGCATAAAATAAATATTGAAACAAAAAATTATTTAAAACCATATGGAAACGCGTAAATTAAAATAAAAAATAAAATAAAACGCGTAAAGTAACAGAAATGTTATAACCTCGAGACAATCATTAATAATCACTAATTAAATAATGTTTGCATATTGGAATAAGTTCAATAAATAGAATTTTCAATAAATAAGACAATTAATAAAAACCTCTTCGTGCCCATTGCCCAGGACGCACAACACCGCTTCCCTGAATTATCAATAGTAAATTGTTACATTCAAGAGCGTCCTCGCTATTACAATGGAAAAACAGAATTTAATAAATAAATATTTTCATATACATTTGCAATATGAGTGTATATATACCTAAGATAAATTCTACTCCTAAGCGTATTATCATCAGATCCTAATGGAATTATCTGTCTTTTGAGGTTAAACTTTGACACCAATTCATTTTCTATATATTCACCGATGGCCTCTTCAAATATACAAAAATGGATATTCATTATTTAAGTTTTTTTCTATGTATTTTGACTTTTTGAAAAGTAAACTTGATAACAATACCACCCAACCTCTCGTAACGAGTTTGGTTGTAAGAACTATCGTCGAGCTTGACATGAAATTCGAATCTTTCGTCTAATAAAGATTCGATCAAAGTGTAAATTTTATAAAGCGCAGTAAGCAAAAAGATTAAGAAAGTGAACACGTTTGTAATAAACCTGTTTTAATGTTTCTTAATTGCCCCTTTTCGTTAAAGTGATATCCAAACCCTTCAATAGTTTCAGGAAACTCGTGTTTTACTTCAGTTTGAATCATTTCCTGAAGTTTTTAAGAGTAACTTTCGCTATCCACAATATTTATGGAATAGAATTTTCGAGTGATACCTCGTGACAGGCATCGGAGAGATATTTCCGAGTTAAAAATAAAATTATCATAAAATATATAAAATATAA